GTTATTCTGTGTTGATTGGACGGCAGTAAATATTTGAGATGCTACGCTACATGCTCTTCTCCATCGTGCGCGCTCGTTTGTTCTGCGGCTGCGGTTCCTCCTCAGTGGTGCCCGGCCCAGGAACGTAGTCCCCTCCTTCAGTCTCCTCGGTGCCACCCCGTAACTGATCGATCCGGAGCGTGTAATCTTCTTGCTCGGACTCACTCGTCCCGCCATCGCCATCCTCCGCCGAACTCGCCGGCGCACTGCTGTCCACCGCGCCCAGCCCCGTGCTGACCAGCTTACTGAGCTTGCCGACCTTCGCAAAATTCGACGCCGTCTTGGTCGACGGCCGTCCCACATCGCCGGGGATCTTCGCATCGCGGAAATCCGCCGCCTTGGCCGTGCCGTCGATCACCCGCAGATTGGCCCGCCACATCTTGACGTCGCGCACGTCGCTGTAGTGGCCCACATCCTCGCCGTTGAGCGTGTCGAGCGCCAGCGTCTGCGTGCGGAAATCGCCCCAGAACCAGCGCTTGCCGGCGCGGATGCGCTCGTCAGTCGCCCGCGAGTACGCCCGGCCGCGCAGCACCCCGTGCAGATCGTAGTGGAGCGCCGGCGAGCGGAACAGCAGCTGCATCGCGTCGGGCTCGTAGCAGCGGCCCAGGATCATGTCTTGGGAGATGTTCACCAGCGCCCCCGCGTGGAGCGGGTACCACTCCCCGTAGCCGCCCATGCCGACGTAGTGGAAGGTGCTCGCGATCTCGTCTGAGGTGAGGGGTTGGGGTTGCGGGGAGTCTTGGGTCCGTCGTTGTTGTTGTTGTTGTTGTTGTTGTAGGAGTGCTACTGCGCACTCGCGATCGTTCGTGTACACTTTGCCCTGGATGCGCACCCGGTACGTCTCGGCCAATTGTTTGGAGCGCGGGTCGGCGTCGCACTCCCTCAGCTCGAGGCGGATCTTGTGGATGACCATCACGTTGAGAGTGACTGCTGTCGTCGCAGGATCGACGGTATCTGTATCTGCATCGTACCCCGACGGTTTGAGCCGGACCGCGTCGCCGACAGCCAGGAATTCCGCCCCCAGGAAAATCCCGCGACAGTAGATCGCGGCGTTTGGCCACGTTCCCTGAAAGCGGTATTTCTCCAGCAGGCTGAACGAAGCCATGACGGTCAGGGCATTCTCGATGGACGGATGCAGTTGCTCCCGCGGCACGCCCTGCAAGAAATGCTCGTACGCGCCAAACGGCCGGATGCACTTCATGGGCACATACTTGTGCTGCAGAGAGTAGCTCTTGTCCTCGCTGTTGGGGTCCGGGAACGTCTCCACCCGGAACCCCGAGTAGTTCGGCCCCCATTTCTTCGGCGTCGTGACGACGATATCCTGCAGGACCACATCTTCCTCGGGCAGCTGGCCGACGACGCCCGCGCGCCAGTCGGGAGCCCCGTGCCATTGCTTGTGTCTGTAGATCTGGACCTGCCCCGCCTCCGGGTTCCACGCGAGCTTCCCCTCGTACTCCGTCGTCCACAGCACCAGCTCGCCCGTGCGCGGCACAAACGACGGGAGCATGTTCAGCTTCTCCAGGTATTCGCGCAGCGGCATGCGCTCGGCGCGCCAGTCCATGCTGTCAGGTTCCGTGATCTTCTCGTCTAGCTGGCCCTTCGCGCGCAGTTTGATGACGGCGGCTTTGAACACGTCCGGGGTGCCCTCGCTATCGGCGATATATTGCATGCTGGATTCCGACGGCCGGCCGGGCATCCGTCTGGAGGAGCGTACGGCAACAGCAGAAGTAGTATTATCAGCAGCAGCAGCAGCAGCAGCAGTAGAACCAGGAGGTCTACCGGGCTTCCTGCCACTGCCGGGAGGTCGGCCGCGTCTGCCGGGGGTGCCTACGGGTTTGATCGGGGTGCTGGTGCCGGACGACGTGCGCGTGCCCGAGCCCGGAGGTCGTCCACGGGGCCGGCCCACTCCTCTTCCGATCGGGATACCGTCTAATATCACGTCAGTAGATTCCAAGAAGTAACCTCAGAAACGTACCTTTCTTGCGCTTAGCTAGCTTCTCGCAGAGATGGCAGGAGCAGGGCTCCTTGCCTTGGCTCATCAGATGGCAGAAATGCGGAAAGAACTGAACGGTGGAGTAGAAGTATTGTTGAAGTGGATGGCCGTAGAGGAATCGATCTCGCTGGGTTTGGCGTTAGACATCATTCACTAGATATCGGTCGTGCAACTCACGATATCAGGATCCGTTCCGCGCGGTCTGTCAAAAATCGCAAACCCGTCTGGTAAAGAATCCAGGATGTACTCCTGTCCTGCATTTATATTAGAATGTGTCTGGCATGACCGTTGACTTGACATGAGAGTGAAATGTGTAGGATCACGGTACTTCCATCGTGCACACGAGGTGCAAGCGCATGAGATTAAACATGGGATGGTGAATGGTCAATGCACAAAACATAGGATTTCACAACAAGAGCCAAGGGGTATCAATCCAATCAGACAAATCTGGAATACAAATGAAGAAGTTGGGGTAAAAAGAAAGCCACCAAGCAGATCATAACCCTTTTACACTGAACTTGAGACAAACAGCAAGCGAGACAGAAGGCGGAACGGAAACAAACAAGCATGACCCAAGTACTTGTACCCTACCCGTACATAGATATGAAACGGAAAGTAAAATGCAAGCAAATTTGAGACACACGAAATAGTTCTAAGGTAAGAAACATGAACCTACCAGGTTTATAAAAGCCCAGTCTCTGCGCCCACAGCCTCGCGATCTTCCGCCGATAGTAGCTGTCGTCGGGCATGTCGAAGCGGTCCCCCGTCGGCCATCCAGCTCGATCCCCATCGCTGTATGTAGAGTCAATCGGGATGACAATCACCCCGGGATCCTCGTCTTCCATCTTGCTGTTAGCCATGATGTGGTCAGATCGCCCCTCCGCGGGATAGCGCTGGCCTCTTCTTTTAGGGTTGCGAGGTCTTCGGAGGTGATTGTAGGGGAGGCGCGGGAAATGCGAACAACTCCGTCGTTTTTGCCTACCCTTGAAACAGGTGTTCCAAGAAGCCACTGGACATTCTTGTCGTCACAGATAGCCAAGAAGGGTGTGATAAATTGTCTGAAACTGTCTCAATGACAGCAGCTCGATTTGTGATATTCAGGTAGAGGGAAAGTCGCTGGGAAAGAAGCTTTGGAAATTGTTAGGAAATTGTTAGAAAATTAATTATTGTTGGGATTCCATCGCATCGCCGTATCTGCCAGTCATGTGATTTACGGGGCATTGAAAGGAGATATATTCATCCAAAAAAAAAAAAAAAAAAAAAAAAAGAACTTAGAAAATGAGGGTCTTGTTTAGTGAAGAAATAGTTTTCAGCTGAGACCGAGCTCAGAATGGATGCTCTCTTATTCAAGTAATCATAGTCTTTACGTGAGGTGATGTGACGCATAGTCGGGTTGCTTCCCTGGCCTTGCAGCCGTTGGTGATGAATATATAGTGTACCGCAACGCATCACAAATTTTGAAATTGAAGCAATCAAGTCGCCCCTTCTCACTGAGCTTCTACAGCTTCGGAACCTGTCTTGTAAGGCGGAGGGCCAAGTTCACCCTCTTCCACCCAGACCTTGCGCAACTCCTCCTCAATTTCCTCCCGGCGCCGTTTCCACTCTTCTACCTTGTCCAGTCGCTTGCGGATCTCCTGGATCTCCTTCTCGACCCCCAGCTTCTCCTTGGCGGTGCCAATCCTCTCCAGCTCCCATTGTTCTCCTTCCGCGCCAATGCTAATGTTCAAGCTGTAGGTGTGGTACTTCTTCAACGATGCGCGCGTGGAGATCGTAATGACCGTGATACCCCGCTCCTTTGCTCGATCATACAGCAGACCCTCCACGTCGGATGAGACCGCAGAGGTCCCCTCATCAAGAAAGGCGTACCGCGGCTCGTGGTAATAGATGCGAGCCATGGCCATGCGCTGTTTCTCCCCACCGCTCAATACATCCTTCCACTCCTTCCGTGAGTCCCAGCCGCCCTCCCGCGAAGGGAGGTAGCCCAGATGGGCATCATCCAGAATCTTCTGCAGCATCGCGTCTGACACTCCGGCCTCGTGCATGTCGATCTCCGAGTGGGGGTAGATGACCTGATCCCGCAGGGTTCCGACGCTCAGATACGGCCGCTGAGGCAGGAACATGATGCCATCGAGCCCGAATCCCCGCGGCCGACTGACCAAGCCACGATACACCGGCCACACTCCGGCAGCAACCCGCGCAATAGCAGACTTGCCAACGCCATTGGGTCCGGAGATCAAGAGATGGTCTCCAGAGTGCACGACAAACGACAGCGACTCCAGAAGCTCATCGCCGCCGCGGGGATAGAGGGATGGAGCAACGATGGGAACCTGCTCGAGGCGCACGCCATCGAAACCATTGTGGACGGTTCCCTGAACGTCGGCCAGAGAGTATAGTTCCGCACCAGAGTCTCGCGGAGGGTAGTATGCATTTGCGTGAACCCTATGGAGGGTGGAGATGAGGCTGTAGACTCTGGATGTGTACCCAGCCAGTTCCGAAATGTCCTTGATGCTATACATCATCCGGCCGCCCGCGTCCGCTAACGACAGCATCAAGCGTTTGTTCGTGATAAATTCTCTCATGCGGTCGCGCTCACGACCGGTGCCTTCCGGTAGATCGAGCAACTCCAGGGCGCCGCCCGATCCGCCCCACGCAGGTAGGAAGATTGGCAGGGATGTAACGAGATAACCGAAGGCAGACCAAGCATACTTCAGGATAACATCTTCGAGCATGTTGTACCGGATCTTCAGACTGTAAATTCCCTCCATCCATCGCTGGAGGTCTTTGAAGCTTCTTGCCAGAAACACGCGTTCGATGTCCGCGCCACCATAGAAAGAGACTTCCTCCGCGTTCGCGAGGAGTCGGGAATGCAAGCTACGAAAGTCCCCCTCTTTCTTCCCTTCGACCGCTTTCAATTTGCCGAACGGAGGTGAGAGTCTCCGAAGGACTGCCGCCGTGCTGAAATACCCAGTGAGGATTCCAGTCAGAGCCAACGGTCCCAAGGAGCGATAAAGCTGGTAGTTGAAGACGAACAAGTCCACCATCGGCTTACCCATCGAGGAATAAAGTGATGCCGCTGCAGTGCAGAACTGGGTGAGGTCTTGGGTGATGAATTGGTCCGCCCCTTGGCCGATGCTGCCGTCCAGGTTCATCAATTTGTAGTAGTTGTTGTCGTTGGTAAGATAGAGATCATGGATGTACCGCGTCAAGCGGGTTCGGAACGCGATAGACACTTTTGACTGGAGGAACTTGATCATAGCGTTGGTGTATGATGCAAGTGTTCCAATGCCACACCACTTCACGATGCCCCAGGCAAAGGCCCGGCCCTTGCCGGCGACGAGGTCTCGCACAATCTCACCATCAAGGCGTGCAATCAATAGAGAGAGGTACGTCCGTAGAAGCAGGAAAACGCCATGACCCATCAAAAGACCCGTCTCTTTACTACTCCATCGGGGCACCATGATGCTCCCAAGGCTGAGGAACTGATGCAGGAAAGCGAGGTTCAGGCCTGGCTTCGTCATCGGCGGTGGGGTCTGGCTACTGGACGCGCCGTCCCCGACGCGGGCGGCAGCAGGAGGATTTAGAAACAGTCGCCGGTGCGCATCAAATGTCGTGGGTTTGGTTGGGTAGATCTTGACCTTCGAGGTCATGGAACCCTTGTAAGGTACGTATATGGTCCGAGTTCCATCTTTCCCTCTGATCCCAGAGTTCCGGCGTAAAAACCGCCTGCCCTGTGCATGTTCCTTTGACCTCTCGCGAAACCATTTATAGCCTCCATATCCAGTTCCCAAGATCGAGAGAATTAAAGCGATAGTGGCGATGGTTTTGGCTGCTTTCGAAGAGCGCTTTATCCGGGCACGAGTGAGGTTGACATAGTAGTGGTATAGTACCATGAGAGGATCCTCCCGATGCTGTAGTGTCGATTGAGCGGCCATGTCTCCGTCTCATTGACAGACCGCGGGACCTCGGGAGGTGATTTATGGTTGCCACGATCGCAGGCTGCCGGTGCAGCAGTTGTCACCCTCAGGTTCGGACACTGAGGGCCATGAGGGTCGATCGGAAGTGCCGTGTTGCAACGTGGGGTAAGCTGGTGCAGATGCGAAGGAGCTGTGATGTGGAAGCGGAAGAAGGAGTCAGAGACAACAGGCAACAGGTCACATTCTTGGTACTCGTTGAAGCTAATGGCGGAGTTTCGCGCATGTGAAGACCTCGGGCCAACAACCCTGCGGAGAGGCGGAGGCTCACGTGCGGAGTCCCCAGACTCTGACGTCGGTCGCTAATACACATACGAGTACTATAGGTAGGTATATGGCTCTGTCTGAAAGGAAATTAGGAATGATCATTTGATGAAGATTACGTATTAAGACGGGATTATCTATCAGTGCTGGATGCTCATACGACTGACTGTGTTTGTTTCCGTCAAGCAGATACTATAGTAGATGCGATGACACTGTGGGGTCCGCCTGTATTGCAGCCTTTCTGTTGCGGGAAGGTATTACAGTCGGCCAGCTAGGCACTCGTTCTTTGAGGGTTGGAGTCTAAGTAGAAAACCAGTAATGCATATGGAATCTTGTTGATAGATGTGTAGTTTTGCAACTTGGCTGTCGACACTACGTTTGAAGATTATAAGCCCTCGTTGTGTGTACGTAGTAGTTTTAACAATTGATGGTCGAGTGGAGAAAGTGTAGTTTCCTTTCTCGTGTCGGCCAGCCCGCAAGCCCAAGCCCCCGGGTTCGACCCTCGGCCCGCTCGACCATCCCCCGGATATGTTCTAATTTTTGTTTATTTTTCTCCCTTCAGTCTCTCCCTGTGTTGATGCACTGCGAATCAAGGACTGATTCCTTATTTAATCCCTACCGACCACCACCAAAGAGAAACTCAGTCTCACAATCTCAAGGCTGCATGGAGACACATCTCGATCCTAACACGGTGGTTGTACACTCCTACACCCGGGCGCCGGGCGTAAGCGCCCGCTACCCTAAAGGGGACCAAGGTCGCTGCAGCTAAGCCGGGATTGTCCTGCTAGAGGTACAACTCGTAGCGATTACCATCTTGCGTAACGATACGAGCGATCGATTCTGGGCACCAAGGCTGTTTTCAGGATTTGAGACATGGGATGCCCAATGCTGGTGGGCTGGTTTTGCGGGGTTGCGACTAGAGCATCCTCGGCCTTGATGGTGGAGATATCGTGGGTGGGAAGTACTCGGTAAATATGTGGTTCAAAGAAGCTTTGTATACTCCGTAGTAAGTGAGTGAGTGAGTGAGTACTTTGTAAAACTGGGTTAAGCTTTGATAATGGGCAAGTTGCCGTGAGTTCGAAATGTTCGGCGTCCACCAGAAGCACGAGGTGCGCCAATTACCCGGAAGCTTAAGGCTAATGCGGATGTTGCAAGACCCATATATCTACTCAGGCGTGTACGTATCATACTCCTTCAATCAAGGGGGGTCGAGAGGCCCCTGACCGACCTACCTCTGGTGGCTTTCGACCTCTTTTTGTGATGACCTCGTGCCTGTGATCACTATCGGAAAGCCGTTGAACATCGATGGGCGCTTAGGAGTTCTTTGCCAGCTCCGCATCCAACCTCACTGGAAATGATCTATTACACGTTGTGCAAGCGCGCATGCCACACCCTTGAGCTAGCTGAGTTTAGCCCACCTGTAGCGACCGGATACAGGAGCGTCTACGGCGATAATCTCGATTCCATGCGGGCGATGACCGGCGGGACGCAGAGTAATACGGAGTAGACACCTTGCGGTGACACTGAACTGTACGCATGCAGGCAGTCGCGGTACGTGTGCCTTTGGTCAAGTTTACAGCGGAAAATATCGATCTTTGCTGCAAGATAGGGAAATGAACCAGCTGCGAATCCACGAATTCCCTCTTGGGAGGGATGCACGGGCCTGAGGCCTGGGCTCAGCCCGTTGTGTGACCTCTGATTCGCAGGCTCAGTCGGGAATACAGGCTTACTCCGCCCCGAACGCACTGTGAATTTGTGATAAGGTCGAGATGGCGGTTAGCTATTGTGGGCCAAGGTCTACTAGTGGTCTTGGACGCATGGATGAACATCATCATTGAAAAGGGTCGCGAGCCGATCGCATGCGAATGCCAATGGCGGAGGATTAGATCAATAAGGTTGGCCCTGTAGAACCAGAAATTGGTGGAGTCGAGAGCTGCCCGCCTGCCACAGACGAGCCTGCGATCGGAATACGAGCGAGCAAGAGGGTGGAGCTGTAAGGCACATGGGCTATTGTCGTCTTTCGAGCTGGTCGGCCGGCAGCTGGCGGAATCCGTCCGGTGCAGGATCTCAAATTGACATTATTGAATCAAGATTCCGTACCACGGACTAGTCAGTCTGATCGCCCGTGGTAGTAATGTTAGCTGATAATATATGTAAGTAAAGTACAAATGGGAAGCAAGGATCATCTGCATGAATTAGCCCAGGTTCGGATGATCGAAGAAGAGAAGGATCGGAGGACATCATGGAAGCAGGTGCCGGTGCCTGTATTATCACCGACCTCAATGAGATCATTGATGCTAATACCCCTGGATTATGCCCACTCTGGTCACCTGCGGTGGAAACACCCACCTTTCCAATGGATCCCTGTGCGCTTGAACTCGGTGATAAAGGCAGGTGATTGGTTCAAGCTAAAGTAGAGGATGAAAGCATGGGGAGGAGGGTGGATAATGTAGAGAAGGCTGCTGCTCGGACTAGACTAAACCAAAGCAGATGTCATGTTTAGCCTACCATCGATTTGAACGAGCAGTGAAATTGCGATGGCACCTCCCACTTCCGCCCGAACGCCCTTCAACCAGTCAGTGTTGCTGAGTTGCAGCCCTGCACCTTTTCCCTCTCCGGTCCAGACCACTTTCACCCTCGGGTCTCTGTCCTCCTCCTTTTCGCCTTCTTAACCAGCTGTACGGAGGTGCTCCGCAGACTAACTACCAACTTCTGATCTCTTCCTCTGGCCGGAATGACCACGGTAGGGAAGAATACATAGGAAGTAGTTGGGAATGCACGTCCATACAATCATGCTTGGGATGATACATACAGTATCTGGTTGGAGTCAACTGGCGTAATCATTATCTTATTGTTATGGTCAAGATAATTGTTATTATTGTTGTTATTATTGCTTTCCTCCGCTCCTCTCTCTTTCTCTGACTGACTGTCTGTTCTGTTTTCTCCCTCCCCCCTCTCCTTCCCTCCATCTTCCCTGAGCCCTCCTGTGGTCTTCTTATACATCTGGTCCCCTTTTTTTCCATTTTTTTTTTTTTGTTAATCTCCTTCTCTCGTCTTCTTCTCAAATTGGTTAGTCAAGTCCAGGAGCCGAGCCCAGGACACCAGGCTTGTTTAATACCCCCAAGCAGCGGTGCTCGCTCCTTTACCTTTGTGCAACCTAGGATTACATTACCGTTTCCTTCCCCTCCTTTCGTTCCTCCCCTCACACTTCGTAAGAACGCATTCTCGTCTTCATTCTATCCTTCTGTCGGCTGCTTTCCCTGCTATTCGCTGCTATCTGACCAGCTCCAGCTATTCTTATCTTATTCCTTCATCTAAGAGCTTGAACAGGCCATCAAACGGGCCATAAGGACCAGAGACAAGAAGACCTGATCGTCGACCGCCGATCAGAGGACAAGACCAGGGCTCAGCAACCTTCGCCTTTCCTTTATTATCATTATTAAACTTCATCCCCCCATCATCCGTCAACCCCAGTGCAACATTCCCGTCGTTGTACCCTAAAGGAAGGGCCCGTTCCACCTCCAGTACCCGGTCATTTCCCTTTCTCCCTCCCTCTCAACTTTTAATTTTTATTCTTAGTAATTCATTATTGAGAGTTCGAGGAGCTGCATCCTGGCCTTGCCACGTGATCTCCTCGCTGCACTCCCACGGCCGACCCTGCCTCTGCCTGCCTGCCTATCTGTCTGTCTGTCTGTCAGCCTGTCCCTGCGAGCGTTCCCCCAGACGGCGAGATCGTGCCAGTCGCATATGATCATATTTTATACTTGCCTACAGTCCGGTTTCCAGGATTTTTGGAGAAAGGTCTAAGCAGTGATTGGATTGCCCTCCCTCCCCCCCCCCCTCTCAAAGTCCCCCAACTGCGACAAGTCTTAGTGCTGCGCACTAGCCTCATTCGAGGCGGTGGTCCGCGACCCAGAGCTAGTCCAAGCAACCTTGACCTACCTGAGGACTGCTAGGTAGTGACTTGCTTGACTTCCATCCTCCATTCATCTATCCCTCTTCTCCATTCCTCCTCCGCCAGATCCAGGAGGCGTGCCTGCTGCTGCACCTTCACCTTCAACGAGCCCCGGTCCGGTCCCTTTCCCCTCTCCTCCCCATCCCCCCTCTCCTCGGCGGATACCCTGGTGGTCCTTGTTCCGACGTTTCGTCCTCTTGCCACACCCACCTCCTTTTATTTTTTTTTCTTAATCGCCTTTCATCCCCGTGAACCTCGCTCTGCTACCCTCAAATGCTCGGAGGGAGCTCGGAGCGAGATTCTTCACCATCCAACTCCACCGCGGCCAGAGAACAAGTGTCCATGTCTATCGCAGCTGGTCACCCTGAGCCAAGTAAGCTTTCCGCCCCTTACTCTTTAACGCGACCGGGCGCTTTCGATGAATATCATCGCTAAGACTTTACTTCTTTAGATCCTGAGGCGGCGCCTCAGGAACAGTCCGCCAATCCAAGTGCATCAGCCCTGTCCACCGGCCCAGAAGCTATCGACCCGGCTCAACAGTCTGTCGCGACTCCAGGCGTTGCTGCGGCTACCTCCACTGATCCTCCAAGAAAGCATCATCTACTACTCCCGATCTCGTCGCGTGCATCCCTGAAGGCTGACCGGCAGTCGACTTTGGACAAGAGCCAGGATACTGTCAATGATGACTCCGAGAACACTCTCCGCGGATCGAAAAGAAGCATTCTGAAAGGGCGACGCGACCGGAGCAGAGGCAGCAGTATGCGATCACGTCGACAAAATCAGGAAGGGGGAAGTATAGAGGAGGACAAAACAGCGACCGGCGATCTGCGTGACACCCCCAAACCGGAAAGGAAAAGCAAGGTCACCTACAGGCTATTCGCGTTTCTCAGTTGCTGTTCTTCATCCAACGACGACCAGGAGGACACAGCTATTCCCGCAAAGAGAACATCCCGACGACTATCAGTTCCCAACACGCAGCCAATTCCCGAGAAGACAGAGGCTACTGCTGGAGACTCAAGCACGGCAGAATCTAAGGAACCATGCTACTATCGCGACGAGAAATCCAACATGACTGTGACGGCGGATCAGTCAGGTTCGCAGAAAGAAGAGGAACGCACTGGTAAACCTTTAGATCAGGGCCTGAAGCTCGATGGCTTGGCGGCGCCGTCCGGTCAAGCTGCAGAGGATCAGGAGCACACTCCGACCAAGGACGATTCCGAAACTCAGGGTCCGAACATCGTCGTCGCGACCGTTGAAGGAGGCGCTGTAATCCCGAATGGGGTCGAAAAGACCGAGGACGATGCCGCGCCACAGGACAAGGAGAAGTCACGACTGCAGACGGAGCAGGCCCAGACTCAGGAACTTCCTCCGGCGGACGATGAGCTACACCAGTTCCCTGCCGAGAACGACACAACAAACGACCTGAAGTACGCTTCCCACGATGAAGAGGCGTCAACGCTCGCCCCCGAGTTACCGCCCCCGCCGATGCCTCCGAGCGAGAAGCACATCGAGACGGTGGACCCTGATGAGCATGGCCAATTCCTTTTGCCTCCGCCTTTACCTCACCTGCGTGACAGAAAGTGTTTGGTTCTAGATCTGGATGAAACGCTAGTTCACAGTAGCTTCAAGGTACTTTCTTTTCCCCTCTTTCGCCAGTCAAAATACTAAGTGGCAATTTTAGGTTCTCGAACGGGCAGACTTCACCATACCTGTTGAAATTGAGGGCCAGTACCACAACATTTACGTCATCAAACGACCTGGCGTCGACCAATTCATGAAAAGGGTCGGGGAGTTGTATGAGGTCGTTGTTTTTACCGCCTCCGTCTCCAAAGTGGGTTATTCTCGCCTCTTCTATCGGCATAGTCACTAATTGAACTGCAGTATGGCGATCCCCTGCTGGATCAGTTGGACATCCACAACGTTGTGCACCACCGCTTGTTCAGGGACAGCTGCTACAACCACCAAGGCAACTATGTGAAGGTTTGCATTCTTCCTAACATGAGCTCCGATTGGACACTGACTTTGTTGTGGTAGGACCTGTCACAAGTCGGTCGCGACCTACGAGACACCATCATTATCGATAACTCCCCGACATCCTATATATTCCACCCTCAACATGCGATACCCATCAGCAGCTGGTTCTCTGACGCCCACGATAACGAGCTCCTAGACCTAATTCCCGTCCTCGAAGACCTTGCCGGGGCACAAGTGAAAGACGTCAGTCTTGTTCTTGACATTGCATTGTAATGCCTGTATATCTAGCTCGTCTAGCATCTGCATCACAGCATGGAAATTTTGCTTTCTTGGACTCCACCACGTTTGTCCTCAACACGCTTGACACAGTGGCTATGACTGGCCACAACACATCTTTATTGTCGTGGTTGGAAGCAAGCCTCTCCAGGCAAGCCGGGACTCACATTGTTCCAGAGTGGAGCTGTATGTTTTCTCGACTCCCCATGTTTCCTGTTTTGTTTTGCAGTGCACTCCCACCCCCGCGCACCGGTCTCTTTGCGTGTTATTCACTTTTGCTTTCCTTTTCATCTCTTGTTTTTTACATACACTCCAAGTGAGTAGATACCTGATTACCCCCTTGCTGTTTTTTTCTCCTTACTACTTAAAACTGTGTGTGTCGTTGCATTCTGCAGGCGTCCGTCTTCGTCATCAGCCAAAATTCTGCTGATCTCGTGTATACGCTCCCCGATTTACCTATTCTTACACTCTCTCATATGTCTTTCATATTTCCTTGCCCCTGTCTTGTCATCTGCACACGAGCAGCCCTCAGGGGCTCGACTTACCGCTCTGGTTATTATTTCCTTTGCCCTTGTATCCGAAGATGTGACCTAAAACCCCGCCGAGTGTTTTGTTATTTGTCTACTACGATCTGCCTCGCTTTTTGGAGACCTCGATAGTGGATGACATCTTGATACCTGTCTTCCCCCACATGTCCATGCTCTGGTACACGCATAGTATCTCATCGACCCAGGATTGACAAATATCGGTGATCTTGCAGTGTATGTACCATTGGCCTACGTCCTGTACATAGAAGCGTCGTCACTCCATCCCGTCCTGTGTTTGAACATTGAGAGACCAATAAAGGCTACGAGTCATACAACAAGCGTATTCCAGAGTTATTAGTTGGTGGCTGGTTCAGCGTGTAGCGTTGGGTAATTGAAAGTGGTACAATACTAGTATCATAGTACTGTACATGTACGCGGGATCCGACGGAGTCAACTTGATCAGCCTGACCGCGTCAACTATTTTTGCTTATCATCGGGCACTTCTTGCCTTCTGAACTTCATTTGAATCATTCCTTTTGTTTTTGCGAAATAAGGATCCCGGTCGCAAGGACGATAAGGCAAGAGAAGAACCAAACAAAAAAGAGGAGGTATTCTATCCCAACTCCAAGCATAATCTAGTTCCCTCCGTCTACCCCCCCTCCCCAGAGAAAACCCCGCTCGGCATCGTCATTCCTCCGTCGGTCAACATTGAACCACCCTCACTCCTCCCCCGCCCTCCGGAGTTCCAGCGCAGACTCACACCACTTGACTAAAACAGAAAAAAACATCGCTCACGCGCTCACCTTCTCCAAACCTCCAACCACACACGCAACATCCATCCAGACCCCCTCCAAACCAAACAACAAAATGAAAGACCGCCACGGCTGGGACGGGAAACTCCGCGTCGGCGGCGGCGCTGGCGGCGCTGGCGGCGACGAGCAGCAGCCCGCCAAAGAAGCCATCATCACCAACCCCGAAGCGATCGAAGATCCCGATTACTCCGACTCGGATGCGCCGCCCGTGGAGGAGATCCAGGCTGATGAAGGTGCGCTTGTCTCATCTTTCCCGCACGCATACACACACTACACACACTCTCTTTCTCTGCATCCGATCTTGAGACTCGCGCTTTTTTTTTGGGAGTTTATTGAAGCTGATCCGGGAATATTGGTTCGGCAGATTTATTGGAAGATGAGGACGTGGATACTGAGGTAAGGGTTCCGAGCTCTTTTTTTTTTTTTTTGTTCGCGGGTGAATGCGATGCGACGACGCGTTGGGGTTGTTGGTTGGTGGTGTTGCGCTGCAGTCGCGGGCGGACCTTTGTTGCCTTTTTTTTTTCTTCGGCAATAGCTAACTAGTTACATTTCTCTCGTGATGGAGTAGGAAATCGATCTGGTACATTGTCGGATAACGTCGCTGCCGGCGTTGAAGTTGGAGCGGTTTGAGAAGGTTAAGGTATGCTCTTCTTCTCCAAGGCTCTTGCGCGGTAGTCAAAGAGAGCACGGAGGGCATAGCACGCCAGCTAACCAGGACTGCTGCAACGCCACACACAGAGAATATGCCTTCGGCAGAACCAGATCTCGCGCATCGACTTCCCGACCCCCGTCGCCAAATCGCTGACCGAGCTCGACCTCTACGACAACCTGATCTCCCACATCAAGGGGCTGGACGAGTTCGAGAACCTGACGAGTCTGGATCTGAGCTTCAACAAGATCAAGCACATCAAGAACATCGCGCACCTGGTCAAGCTGACGGATCTGTACTTCGTGCAGAACAAGATCTCCAAGATTGAGGCGCTGGAGGGGTTGACGGTGCTGCGGAATTTGGAGCTGGGGGCGAATCGGATTCGGGTGGGTTTTTCGTCTTTGATCGAAGGGGAGCTGGAGTTGACGCGGTGTACAGGAGATTGAGAATCTGGAGACGCTACAAGCATTGGAGGAACTGTGGCTGGGAAAGAATAAGATTACCGAGTTGAAGGTAAGCATAGGAACACTGTGGTGCTTTGCTGGGTCTCAATGCGAGAAGAGCTGATCTGACTCGCGGCTAACCCTCGTGCGCTATGTCTACAACAGAACCTCGACGCCCTCCAAAACCTCCGGATCCTCTCCATCCAATCGAACCGCCTCACCAGCATCAGCGGCCTGTCGGCGCTGCAGAACCTCGAGGAGCTCTACCTCTCGCACAATGCGATCACGGAGCTCGGCGGCCTCGAAGACAACCTGGCGCTGCGGGTGCTGGACTTCTCCAACAACCAGGTCTCCAAGCTGGAGCGCCTGTCGCACCTGACGAATCTGGAGGAACTGTGGGCGTCGAACAACCAGCTGGCCAGCTTCGACGAGGTGGAGCGCGAGCTGCGCGACAAGGAGCACCTGAAGACGGTGTACTTCGAGGGAAACCCGCTGCAGATGCGGGCGCCGGCCCTGTACCGCAACAAGGTGCGATTGGCGATCCCGCACATCATGCAGGTGGACGCAAGTAAGTTCGGGGGGGCTCCTCTTCACTATAAAGTCGATGCTAACCCATGTAGCGTATATGCGTGTTGCATGAGGGGGTCCGGAATGTAGGAGGTATGATGAGTATACGGACAGGTTGATTATCTGCTCGCAAACTGGGAACCAACTGGAATAGATAATAATCTTCTTGATCCAAAAAACACCACTTCACCTTGAGGATTAGGATATGATATACGATATGCATATACCACCCACAACCATGGCTTCAGTATAGAATGTAGTATACACGAAAAATAATATACAAAGAAAGGCTAGGCTAGCTTTCACACCAACTTCTCTTCTCTGTTCCACACCCCAACTTATTCTCTACTCTTCTCCTCCCCCCCCTTCCTCCTCCCCCCTACATCACCACCATTATTACCACGAAGGTCCCCCCGAAACAACCCCATCAAACTCCCCGCCCCCCACCGCACCGTCTCCGCCTCCACCCTCTGCCGCCGCCCATGCGGCACCCCCGCCGCCTTCCGCCGCCCCGCCGGCCCATCCGCCAGCTCCCGGAGGGGAATCCCAGCGTGCACCAGATCCGCAAACATGCGCGGGTGACTCGTCCTCTCGACCTCGAACCCAGCGTACCAGGGGTTCCGTCGGATGGCGGCGGCGTGGTTGGTGCGCGAGGCGGTGAGGGTGCAGCTTATCGTTGTGGGGTGGTCTTCGTCGGATCGCGTTGGGTCGAGGGCTGGGAGGTTGTGCGGTGCTGCTGCGTCTGGCGAGGCGTGTTGCTGCTGCTGCTGCTGCGGCGGGAGAGGGAGGGGCGTGTAGTATTGTTTTTGTTTCGGGGGTTGTGCTTGCGTGAACTGTGCTGGTGATTGTGATTGTAATTGTGACTGTGATTGTGATTGTAATTCTGACTGTGACTGTGACTGTGACTGTGGGGTGTGTTGGGCCTGCGCCTGGGCGTCCGGGGTGAGAGGGATTGATAGCGGAGACGCGGCGCAGGCGGCCGTCGCCGCGGCGGCGGATTCGTAGATGGCGATTATGTTGTGGGATGGTGGGCGGGTGGTTTTCGTCGTGGTGGGGAGGTTTGTTACGTCGTACTTTTTGTTTCGGTCGGTTAGTTTCTTGTCTCGTGGAGGAGGGGGGGTTTGTTGAAGCAACTGGGAGAAGGGAAAGGGCTACCCTCAAATTGCGGAAGGTGACGACTTCGCCGAATTTCTGCAGCGCGGTGAGGATGAGTTTGCTGTCGGAGAGGGTGCGCGGCGCCGGGTGCGCGGTGATGTGAATGGTTTTGGTGAAAAGGGACATTTTGCTGGGAATTGGGGAATTGGAGGTAAGGTTGGGTTATTGCATTGGAGGGGATGTGGTGTGTTTTTGGGTGGTGTTGAGTATGTTTGCGCGGAGGAGATGAGACCCTCGGAGGGAAGACTGCACGGCTTGGCGGTGCTTATCGCCATGCGCGAGGCTTATCTTATCGGGTTATCGTGCGTTGCAATTTTCTGTATTGTCTATACTACTCGTTGCACTGATTTGAATGCTCGGTGTCCCTGCATACCAGTGCGGCAGATCTCTGTCCCAACTTTAGAGATATCTCTTTGCAGGTCATACTGAGAGTTTCCCATACATATAGCATTCTTAACAGCACATACTACGCTACACTCTACGAGGGCCAAGAGGAAATGAAGTCGAAAGAGTAGCATTCATATATCATCACACATAACTAGAAGATGGGAACATAGAGTCCGTACTATTGAAAGTTTGTTAGTATCACTATCAACCTCAAGTCACCAGCAACGGAAAGGGAAGACTCACTCCCAAAGGATCATTGAACCGCAACCCCCGATCCAACGCACTGATCTTCTCCAGCTCCGCGCCCTCCAGATCCCAGCCCGTGACATCCAGATTCTGCTGCAGCCGCTTGGGGTCATTGCTCTTCGGGATAACGGCAATACCGCGCTGCGTGGCCCACCGCAGCAGCACCTGCGCGGGCGTGCGCCCATGCTTGGCGGCAATCTCCTTGATGACACCATGCTCGAACAGCGGCGGTGTGTTCAGCGCATCCTTGACCTCCAGCTCCAAAAAGCTCAAGGGCCCGAACGAGCTGTATGCGGTGACGACCAGCCCCTCCTTCTGGGCGTACTCGACCAGCCGGGTCTGGGTCAGGTAGGGGTGGTGCTCGATCTGCAGGGTGGCGGGGCGGACGCGGGCGTAGCGCAGCAGATCCATGACCAGCTGGGCACTGAAGTTGCTGATGCCGATGCTGCGGGCCAGCCCGGCGTCGACGAGTGTCTCCATCGCCTTCCACGTCTCGTGGATGGGCGTGTTGCTGAGCTCCAGCTTCCCGTTCTCGGACTCCCAGCCGGGGGGGTACCGCACGGCCGGGTCCACGTACTTGAGCGCGATCGGGAAGTGCACGATGTACAGGTCGAAGTACTCCAGCCCCCAGTCCTGCAACTGCTTGCGCGCGATCGGCTCCACGCGTTCCGCGTCGTGGAAGCTGTTCCACAGCTTCGACACGATGAAGAGGTCCTCCCGCTTGACCAGGCCGTCGGCGATGGCCCGCGCCACGCCTTGGCCGGCTTCGGTTTCGTTGCCGTAGTCTGTTTTTTTTTTAACCTAGAGATTAGTATGTCTGTGGTTCTGGGTGTGTTTGGGGACACTTTCGGTGGGGAAAGACATACCGCAGGCCCCGTCAAACAGTCGGTATCCCTCCTTGATCGCGTGGTAGACTTGGTCCGCGCAGGTGTCGTTGTTCACCTTCCACAGACCGAAGCCCACGAGGGGCATCTCGTAGCCGCTGTTGAGCTTGACGGTGGGGGAAGCCATTGTGTTGGTATCAGGGTTTGCCTTTTGGGGTATGAGAGAGTGTATGAGGAAAAGAAAGTAGAATCGAGAGAAGGAGGAGAGAGGAGAGGGAAAGGACACGGAGATGGTTAAAAGACCGGCCAATTGCCCCTCCATGGCCCCCCTCCCCACCCCCAGCCCTCCAGAGCGTGCCAAAGTCTAATTGATGGAACGACAGCAATTAACCAGGCACGGCATCGGATGATGATGCATTAGAGGCTAAAATGATATGCTTCTGGCGGCTGTTTATGCGCCCCACGGCTAAATGCAGCATGCGGGTCCGGCTAAATTGGGCTCGACCCATCTGGCTGGCTGCAGGCACCCATAGTTACTCTACATATTATTATTATGGTTGGATGGATGGTACGGAGTACCTACTCCGTACCGACGTAACACTATTCTAGTGTTCTGCACAGATTTGCATTGTCAAGAATCGAATCAATTAGGTATCAATAAAAGGTTATCCAGAACCAAAGACCAAAGAAAACCCATCCCGTCCAAGAACCCGCCCCGAGAAGAAAGAATAATATTACAAAATGTGCTTTTGAAAAGTCCCACCCACCCCGAGGTTGAAAGACATCTTAATTCGCCTCCACTGAATTACTGTCTGCATATGCAGGATGCGGGTGATCATGCCCACCCCCGTTGAGGCCCGGGTCACCGGGCATGCTGACGACCAGCTTGTCCATCACATCATCCGGCGGTAGGAACCCCTCGAAACTGGTGGTCGCGTGCGACTCGCGCGGGACCGAGCTCTGATGGTCAGACGGCTGGAAGTGGTGGTGGTGGTGGTGGTTGTGGTGGTGAAGATGGGTATAATTGTCACCGGTGACATCGCCCTGGATGCCGGAGGTCGTGGGCGTCGCCCAGGCGGCGTGGCTGTGGCCGATGTCGTCGAGAGACTGCGCGCTGGTCCCGAAGATGCTGTTGAGGACGGTGTTGTTGTCGTGGACATTCACGCCGTGGGACTGCGGGGGCCCGTAGTGGCCGTCGGGACCGATCCCGTATCCAGGCAGGCCTGGATGCGACAGGGAGAGATCCGGCACACTCATCATGACGGGCCCGCCAGTTGAACCGCTGAGACTCGTGGGCTGGCTGGTCTCGTGGGGTTGGAGATGGGAGAAGGAGTCCAGCACCGACGTCACCGAGGTCTTGTCGCCCAACCGATCTTCTGCCTTGATGTGTCCGAGGAAGTCAAAGGGGCCACTGGAATTGAACATGTTCGCGACACTGTCCTGTGGCTGCTGATACAGAGGCCAGTGCGGTTGCGAGGCAGTGGTGGTGTGCAGGAGTTCATGGGACTGAGGCGGGTGGTACGCACTGGGGCCGGGGCGGTTCATCAGGAGGGAGTCCAGCGGGAGGGGAGGAAGGTCGAGTCCAGTCGGGGCTTTGGGACTCGCATGCAAAGTCCGCTCGGGAGGAGGAATGATACGGCGCCAAGTGGTGGTGCCGACCTCATTGGGTCTCGTTTGTCGGAACTTCCAGAGCAGAATCGCGACCCGCTTCGGTTCGTTCACCCCATGGCTCGAGTACGAGTTAGTGGACATCCGTCGCACATTATAAGGCGCCACGGCCCGGATCTCCTGGACGACTGTCAAGGTGCGGAGGTATTGTCTCCCAACTTCATGCGAAACGTGATGTTGACCTCTTTCCTCGACCATCTTCTGGTCCTGCGTGAGCTGGGTGAAGCAGTTGGCCCACCATCGGGATTCAAACAGAGGCTTGACCTTGGTCGACCCCGGTTGGGCAACACTGTGACACTCTTCGTGGACATTGCGGCCATTGTCATACATGGTGGTCTTACAGGTCCAGTTGCTCATCTGGTGAACCATGGGCACATCCCCGGCCGTTGCCTGGGCAAAGTCGAGTTCCAAGTGAATCCCCAATCTCGACCCCGTGGGAGGGAAGTTATCCATCAACTTCAGGTTGGCTTCAAGTAGAATGATCTCGCAATCAAGGGGGGTACTGGGGTCTGCAATTAATGAATTCAAATCAGGAAAGGATGTCTGCCACCCTGGCAGGTCTTTCAAGGGCATCGGCGGCGCAACCGGATGGTGCTGGTCTCCCTGAAGGCGGCTGTAGATATGGATGGCGTCGTCGATTCGATTCGGCTTGTCTGGAGCGCTGACCCACATGTCAAACCCAAGTCCCTGTACAGTGTTGATGCTGGCGTCGTGGAGGCTGGAATTCAGGGAGAGGTGCGCCGAGGGGATATCGCCAGCATAAGTATGTCCCAACCTCAAATGATCATAATGGGGGGTGTGGAAGTGATTGCCATAATGACTTGACAAGGGAGGGTCCAAGGAAGCCCTCCATTTTGGACCACTGGGCGGATGTTGGCTGTTCGAGCGGACGGCCGCCTCTTCTCGTACGAGTCGCTCCCCTGCACTACATTAGTCCCGTTGCAGTGGCCCTTCTTCACCTGCACACCAGATGAACTTACAGTCCGGGTCTCCTTTGAGGAACGAGTCGAGGACTTGCAGATGGCTGGACACTTGCTTTCTGGTTCGTCGTTTACCAGTTTTCTTGTAGATGTATTCAGCAATAAGCTCATTTCGACCATAGGACTTTCCTCGTTCCGACCATTTCCGTCGGCCCATCGGCGGATTCGCTTCGAGAGCTGTTGAACGGATTACTTGGATGCTCGTACACTATCAATCCTCGAAGCTGCTCACCTTGTTGAAACGCGTCTTCAAGTTCGTCCGACCATACCGGTTCCCCATCTTTGCCAGTGTCACGGCGAGGTCGGGCTCGATACTCAAGATACTTCTGAGACCTGAGATAGCTTCTTGGTCGACGCGGTCCCACGAGATTCGGACCAACAGACTGCAGACGCCGCAGCTTCTTTGCCTGGAATCGTAGGCTCTGAGGAGGCCCAAGGCTAGAAACGGTGGGCACTGGATGTGTTGGCACCGGAGGTTGAGGATACTTGTAGGCTAGATGATGCAGGTGCTCGTCCCGCCCCGTGATCCCACTGTGTGCGAGGCTGTCCGAGTACGTCTGAACGTTCCCAGAGGTGTTCTGCAATGCTCTGTCCGTATGAGCTCCGATACTGTCCAGAGTGGGTTGATGTTGAGGCAGAATACACTCCGTTTGCCAGTCAGTAGCCATGGGGCGGACCAGAGTGTAGGCTCTTGGAAAGAATGGCGACGAATTCCAAAGAGATGGGGGACGAGGACCGCGAAATGCTTACTACTGCCTGGCAAAGAACGTAGCAGTCACCGACCCAGCGATCAAGAACGTAAATGCTTGGAGAGAATGTAAGAACCCTACGAGAGAGAATGTGGGAGCGAGCAGCATGGTGTTTATAGGGAACCATTCTCTCCCCTGGAGAGGGAGGCCCAGTGACATTGCTCGATCACACTGCTTGTTGATGAGCCACCCCTCTAGGGCAACGAACCTCGATTGTCCAAGGCGGGGGAACAACAGGGAATCTCCTTCCAGGCTTCACGCGTCCAGATTGAGTGCTGAGCCCAGGAAACCATTGGGGAGCAAATCAGGAGGGAAGCCCACGATGGGCACGAGCCGGAGACTGATGCAAGGGGGTCCCTCAAGGTGCACGCTCCAGTGAGGTGCAACTCGGAGGTTTTCGCAGCGTGAGATGGACATCGTTTCCTGAAAAGCAGGTACACAGCATCCAAATTGGACGAGTTGTGGCAAAGAGCCGGCGTTGGAATGAGCGTGAACCAACGGCATGGTCTCCAGCCGTAGGTGTGGAATGTAACGAGGTAATTACGAAGATCAGGTCGGAATGTTGGTGAGAACCCTAGCTCCAGCTTAATTTTCACGTCCAGAACCAAGGGTTTCGAAAGGTCTGAAGGTATGAATTGGTAGGTAGGTAGGTAGGTAGATAGGTATAAGGGATTAAGGGAAGTAGTGAGCCCTGACTAGCACGGAGACTCGGAGAAGGACCTTACTGGGATGACAGGACGAAACTCTCGTGAGAACAGGCACGAGCATCCGCTCGCTCTGCAGAACGCGTATGTACGTGTTGACAGCCGCAGGCGAAGGTGAGAGCCTACTTCCGCCCTCCAAACTCAGCGTCCCGGACGCAAGGGATATCATCACCATCAGTGCACCATTGCCATTGTCTGTCCCCTATCAACAGGGAGAAAGGAAGTCAAAAGAACCAAGGGTAGAGAGTCCCCTCTCTACTCCTCGTCCTGGGCCCCTACAGTGAACTTCTTGCGCCCAGGACCACTAAGTTTTTGTAGCTTCACCCTGTCCATCTGCTCTCCTACTTTCTTTTCGATCTGCTTGATCTCTTCCTCAGCATCGATCGCCTCCTCGTTCGCGAATTCCAGCACCAGCTTCCTGCCCAGCAAGTGCGTGTTCTTAAGGGCGTCCATGGCATTCTCCGCTTCACGAGCGCTTACAAAGTCAGCAAAACCGAAACCACGGGCCGTCCTGTCAAACTTCTGAGGCACCCGCACAGAGCGAAGCTGCCCATAGGCGCCAAAGAGCGACCGGATATCCTTCTTGGTAGCCTGGAACGGCAAGTTCTTGATGATGATCTTCGTCCGTCTGGCGGCCACCTTCTTCGCGGTGTCCTCGCGTCTCCGCTCCTCCGCAGCATCCATTCCACGGTGAGACACCCTAACCACCAGCTCATGCTGATCAAGCTTGTAGCCATTCATCGCGCCTAGAGCAGCCTGGGCCTGAGCCTTGGTGCGGAACTCCACAAAGCCAAAGCCCATGCTGAGAGTCTGCCCAGGGCGTTTGGGATCAGGCTTGGTCTTGATCCTAGCGGTGATAAATCCATCCAGTGGTCGGAAGAGGTCCACAAAACTCTGGTTGGTGGTAGAGAAGTTGAGATTCTTTACAAATAGGGTGGTTGTGGGCAGGTTGTCATCAACAGCCTCATCTGCCGCAAACGTGTCAGCCGTGGAGAATCCTTGCGAGACAGCCTTAATCTCCGTGGTTGGCTTCTGCGGCACAACGTTGGGATCAAAAAGATCCTTGGGGGCCTTCTCTAGGAAGAGGATCGAGTCCCCTAGTTTGCGGTACGCAAGACCTTTGAAGGCTTTCTGAGCCTCGTCGGGGCGCGAAAACTCGACAATTGCTATGGTACCGCTGGGCGGCATCAGTAGCCTGGTGATTTGTCCATACGGATCAAATAGTTTCCTTATGTCCTCAGTCTTGACGCCATATGAGAAGTTCTTTACTAGGATAGCCGTGTTTCCACGTTCCCGTTGCTTAAAGGCCTCAATGTTGACGCCGTTGGCTGAGAAGTAGGCTTTCGTCTCCTGGATTACGTGCGTCTCAGCGTGCGCTTGCTTAACCGCTGCATCAGACGAAGTGGGGTCCAGCAGATCTGCTTTGGAAACACCAAGACGTTCAGCTACTGAAGACATGACAGCGTCGGCCTGGTTTAGGTTAGCATTGGGACACTTAGAATTGCAACGAGTTTACTCACGTTCATGTAAAGCGAGTTCCAGCTAAAAGAGGAAGACGCAGCCCCCATCTTCTTCTTGATTTGCATCTGCTTTTTCAGTGGCAGCTTCGCCAGCTCGGCCTCGTCAATCTTATACGTCTTCTTGGCAGCTGCCGGTAAAATATGCATCAAGCGGCCTTGGAAGTGCTTGCCATCCAGCTGCTTGTAGGCCTCTACGGCAGCATCAGCATTGACATACTGGATATAGGCAAAACCCTTGCTGGTGTTTGAGCGAGTATCAACAGCAACGTGGATCTAGTCATGTTAGCATCGACCGACCAAACGATGAGTGGAATGAAAACATGCGAGGATATAGCTCTTTCAGATATGCGAGGCATCTACTAAAATACTCGTTTCCTGGCAACATCATCTGCTTTGCATCGGATGTCCCTATCAGGTCGTTCATCATTGAGCTTGGGGGGAGGGAAGGCAAGGCAACGTATAACGCGATCAAAATCATGTTACTAACCTCTTCAATTTGGCCGAAAGGAGCGAATATTGGTTGGAGATCCGAATCCGACGTGTCATAAGCCAGATTGCGGACGAAGAGACGTGCTGAGATGTGAATGTTCTCGATGTTGGTGTCAACCTCCGGCTCCTTCGCTATTTTACCAGCGGAAGGTTCTTCGGTGGTTGCGACATCCTGAGCAGGTTCAACGTCGACTTCCATCATCGCCTCTGACTCAACAGAAGCAGCAGGCTTCTGTTGTGCGGGAGAGTCAAACTCTGCTTGCTCATCCTCGTCGAGGAGGCCGAGAAGACGACTCGTCTTCGAGCGAAGCCAGTCCGCATCCGTGACAGGTGCCTGTTCTTCGGCAGGGGCGACAGCATCATCCTGATCCGCCGACGGCTCGGCATCACCCTCGCCACTATGATCAACGGCCATGGGCTCCGCTTCCGCTTCCGCTTGTTGGTCCACATTATGCGACTCTCTAGGATTAGCCGGGATGTCGCCAAGCTTGGCCTTCTTCCTCTGAGCGTAGGTGAGCTCCTGCGGCTCCTCTTCTTCCTCTTCAACGGGCTGTTCTGCAGGTGAGTCTGTCTCCGGGGCTTTAGGCATAGCGTCATCGTTGGCCCACGTCTTAGTCTTGGACGAGTGCTGCATTACGGAAAGGTACTCCTGCAGCTTGGGATCTTCGGCCTTGTCGCCATCGCGCTTACGCTTAAGCGAACTTCCCGCATCGTCATGATCCTGGGGGTTGCCAGACTTGCGGGCTCTTGGGGTAGGTTCGGCATCAATCTACAAATTACTGGTCAGTCACAAGACCACCTTGATCGTCAGCGGGGTAAGACAAAAAAAAAAAAAAGAAAGAAAGAAAGAGAAGAATAAATGCAACGAGAGCAACAGGTGAAACACATACCGGCTTAGCAATGTCTACTGAGATCCTGGACATCTTCACGTAGGTCTTATTGAAATAAGACACGGCCTCTTGGGCAGCCTCGTGGCTCTTGAAGCCCACGAAGCCGATCCTGCGTTTGGGCAATACATGAGCGTCCGTGACCTGGAAGCGACTCGCGAAATGCTTTCTCAATTGATCATCAGAGAAAGTTGGCGGAAGGCCAGAGACAAAAACTCTGGTGCTTTCCATGATTGAGTAGTGATTTGCTTCAGGTTCCTGTGGCCTACTCTCTCGAAAAGTGTGCGTGCCACAGGAATCGGGATGTGGAAGAGGGAAATCCGGGAAAAAAGAAAAAAAAAAAAAAAACTTGGGTGGGAGCTTTTTTATTTTCGGCTTCCTTATAGTGCCGAAGGCGGTGTGGGGGGCGGCATGACCCGAGCCCCATCGGCTGGGGTTTATTGCGGGCGCGCAACTTGGAATTGTTGATTCCCAATACTCCTGGTTGGGCTTCATTGGTACTTTCTGCGCAAACGGATTTTGACTATTCATCCAATCTCTGGAACTTTCTTTTCCTTCTGAAACCTGTGATCAACGCTAAACTACAATAAAGATGGCTTCCGAAAAGAAGGACAAGCTTGAGCGTGAGTCAACCCGCGGCATGATGGAGACGAGAGCTAACGGGGTTGTTTAGCGCAGATCAAGTCCGTCGATATGGTAAGGAGAGCGAGCGCTATAGGGGCTTGGAACAACACTGACGGAATACCAGACGGAGGACATGCAGCAGGAGGCTGTTGAAATTGGTATGGTTGACTGCGGGGCTGATCTTTGATCCCAATTAATGCGGGCTGTTTAGCGATCGAGGCGATGGACAAGTACCACATTGAGAAGGTCGGATTCTACGATCGCAAGTTACGTAGATACTCTACTGACAGTCGCAGGATATTGCCCAGTACATCAAGAGAGAGGTCGGCCGCTGCTCCGTTACTCGAATTCCAGCATTCCGCTTACAACTTAGCAGTTCGACTCGCGCAAGGGTGCAACATGGCACTGCGTGGTGGGAAGAAACTTTGGCAGCTTTGTGACACACGGTGGGTACTGCTGAAAGTTTTGGGGGATGTGAACTGATTGGGACTACAGAGACGAAACACTTCATCTACTTCTACCTCGGTCACTGCGCCATCCTCCTTTTTAAGACTCAATAAGCATGCGAAGGGCAGACAACGGTCGATATTGTTAAGCGTTTCCTGTACCTATTTCGGAGTTCTTTGCAGGCGAGTCACGCCGAGATATGTTCATATATAAATTGAGATATTGGCGTGGTTATTCTTATACCATTGCGACCGGCCGAGAGGACATCACATGGTGGGGGGAGCTCTGTAAACAAAAGCTACTATTTTGCAGGAGCATCCTCTGGGTTCCATTATTCGCAGAGAGGTTATCTTATGGTATATGTTATAACCGATCATCGCAAGTCTTCTTGCTGCGTAGCTCTTCACGGTGGATGGTGATTGTACCTTACAGGGGCAGTCCTCCTCTAAGGCTCCAACCCCCATAGCACCCCCGAATCCCCGAGACCGGCCCGCCAAGGCCCAGCAGTCAGCAACCGCCGGCTGCCAAGCCACACCGCCGCCACACATCCGCGCCTCCCAGTCCCAGCTCTTTTAACATGGCTGCCTTCCCCTACAATCGTCTCCCTGCGTTTCGAGCTTCGAACGAGCAACTGCACGCCGTCCGTCACGATTTCCACTCTTTATCTATCTCGATCACAATCCCTCTCACTACCAATTTTCTCTGACTACCACACAAACATTTCAAGATGGCCATCTGCATCACCTTCGGGACTCATGGTACGTGCCTGACCACTACGTAACTGACCAACTCCACCCTCGCCACAGCGGTATCCCCCATCCCCCCATAGACCCTGAAAAGAGTGCCCGGTTTCGGCATTCAAGCTAACACCACTGCACCACCCCAGAATTCACGTCCATGCTAGAAGGCTACGAGAATGTTCGTGCCTACTGCTACAATTGTGAGTGCACCCCTAATACTCAGTATTTTTACTGTGGAACACCTATCAGTAAGCTCTCGAGGGGATATAGTAGCCGCTTTCTCCTGCTATCTAAATATAGTATAGCAACAGCGGCACTATAGGATATACAGTACAAGTACCCTCCGAAGACCCAATTTACTGACGAATAACCCCATCCTCATCAGGCCAGCATTGGAACGGACACTGTCTTACAAGATGGTAAGCATTACCTTTTTTTCCAAGTGATACCTTTTATTAGTTGTGATGTGACGCTAACCAAGCCAGGCCCTGGTTCACTGTCTGCTTTGTTGTATGTTCGGCCCCAACGGCCCCAGGCATCAATCACCTGGAGCTTGAACACTAGCTAACACGAATACTTTTTTCAGCCTGTCATCCCTCTCGCCATGCATAAGTACAAGGTAATAAGCTTCCTCTATGAAGCAACTAGGTATCAAAACTCACGGATCTACTATAGGAAGTAACATGCTACACATGCCGCTTCACCCAGGATCTAGGGTACGCTCCCAACACATGACCTCCAACTCCACGACAGCAACTAACTATCATCGGCATACAGCGACCGTCCAGATATCACGCCGGAGACAAGACCTCCTCCGGGAGTCATACCGGGCCAATTACCCCAGGCGTATGGGGGCGGGGCGCCGTACTATCCACCTCCCCAGGCATCGGGCGCGGTGGCACCGCAGCAGCAGCAGCAGCAGCAGCAACCAGGACAGCAGAACTTTGTGTATAAGTAGATGTTTCGATGTTTCATGTCGGGTTCTGCTGTTTTGTCCTTAGTTTTTCATCGACGGTGTGTGTGCGTCGTCTTCATGTTTGATTGGATTGGAAGATACCTCTTTGCTTCCTGCTTGTTTGTCTATTTGTTTGATGCTATGTTGTATACTGTAGTGTTTATCCTCTGCAAAAGGCGAATTGAAATTCAATATTATAAATATTGCCATTCACTCAATATACTAAAAACAACAGTGGGGGTATATATAACCGAGAAAAAAAAAACCAAGCGCAAGAACCAAAACCTCCCTCATCAGCGAATCCATAATCATCATCATGATCACAAGCACTCAATCCAGACCAGACCAGAATATCCTGGAATTTATTTTCCCCCCTCCACCACCCCCTTCTCCCCAGCATACACCGGCGTCTGCACCCCGGAAACCGTCTCACTTCCCGTTCCCGCCGCCGGCGTCGTCACCACCACCTCCCCCTCGATAGGCCTCCTCCTCGCCCCGCCCCTTCCCATCAAATCCAGGGTCATCAAGCGCACCGTGCGCACCATACTCTTCCGGCCCTCATACAGCGGGAACACCACGACGCCGAAGGTGGTGCAGAACAGCCACAGCAGGCCGACCACGATCCAGCCGGTGAAGAACTTCTTGCTGAAGACGTACGCGCTGCCGTACATGGGCACGGGCCACAGGAGCAGGAAACAAACCACCATGACGACGGTCAGCGTGCGCGAGTAGAAGGCCGCGCGGTTGAGCTTGCGGGTCTCCTCTTCCTCCTGCGCCGCGGTGCGGGCCGCGACTTCGCCAGGAATCTGCTCCAGGTCGACGTGGGCGGCGACGTCGGTGTCGTCCACCTTGCGGATGGTGCGCATGCTCTCGTAGTCGTAGTTCTGGGAGCCGAAGATCAGGGTCAGGACTGGGGAGAAGATCATGGGGCTCAGGAGAGCGGCGACGTTGCCGGCTAGCATTGGGTAGCTGGGTTATGTTAGTTTTTTTGGTTCTCTTGAATGAGGTTTTTTTTTTTTTTTTAAAGGGGGGGATGAATAAAACGTACTTGGAGCCGGTCGTCGTGACGGTTAGGACCCCGTATTCCTTCTTCGCAGTCACGAGCCACGCGATGAGGGAGACCGCCAGACCCAAAGGTGGGGAGACTGCCGCGGCGATCCAGTTCTGGTGCTTCCAGACCAAGGTCATGGCCCCGGGAAACACGGCGGAGGAGATGATGACTCCCATTAATAGGTACAGATAGCCCATGCTGATCCCGGCGTAGTACAGACCAGTGGAGAAGGCAGCCATGACGATGGCCCAGACTACGCAAGTCATGTGTGAGATCCAGACCAGGCGCTTGCCTTTGGCTTCGGGGTTGATGTAGCCCTGGTAGATGTCGTAGGTGAAAATGGAAGAGACGGCGATCAGTTGAGCCGAGAAGGCGGAGGTCACTGCCATGAAAATCATGATCGTGGTGCATACCGCGCCGCTGTAGCCGAGCAGCTTGACCGCAGCAAAGGGCAACACAAGTCCGGCGGACACGTCACTCGAGCTCAAACGCTGGGTGCCCTCAAGAGCGAGGGCGGTCATTCCCATGGTGCTGGCGCAGAGCCAGGGTATAGCAAACCAACAGAGGCCGCCGATGACATAGCCGGGGAAGGCGTGCACGGGGCTTGCTGCGATGGCTTTGTTATAGTATCCGTTGTCCAGAAAGACAGTACTGTGTTGGGGTTAGCGATTGACCGGACGCGTGGAGTACAGAAAGACGAACCCAAAATTGCCCACAAGGTTGATCACCCAGAAAATGCCACCCTCCTTGGATCTCATGGTCAGATAGCTTCCCTCTGCGTTGCCCTCCACGGGGTGGCGGTTCGATGCAGCAACTAGTGCCTCATACACAGCGCCAGGAGATCCAAGCTTATCGTTTGTGGCATAGGCAGAGAAGGCGAAGATGAAGATGACGACAATGATTACTACGGTGTGCATGTAATCTGTTATGAATGTCGCCTTGATACCACCGAAGAGAGTATAGAGCACAACACCGATCGGGAGGAGAAAACAGGCTGCAACTGTGTGAACTCCGGTGAGAGAAGTCATAACGGCAGAGCCGCCGGTGAGCAGCATGGATGTAACCAGGATGTTGGTCATCACACAAAAGACAGTGAAGACAATGTGGACAGTAGTTCCATAGCGGGCACGGATGGCTTCAAGGAAGGTGTGTGCATTTGGAGCACGACGTTTGAGCTCAATTGCTAGCGTTGCAAACAGAATGATCTGAACAGTAGCACCTTAACAAGGTATTAGTAAGTAGTCAATGCTTAGTCCTTTGATTGTTCCCCACCTGAGGCATAGAAGAAGGGACCTGAGATGCCATATTCATAGGCTACTGTAGACGACTGAAGAAGAGTTGCGGCCCAGGTCCAGCTACTGACGACAGCGGCTGCAACCAGCCCAGACTTGACGGATCTTCCTGCAGTCGAGAACATTTCCGACGTTTGTACTTCATGCTGGTACCTGTGGGGCTACATTAGCTTGGCTGTCAAAAGTAGGTGCAATGGATCCATAGTTCAGGTCAATACCTCTTCAAGGCCCAGGTAATGAAGATCATAAGCAAAGCGAAGGCAAAGCCCAGCCCGACGATGATTCCATAGCCAAACCCTTGGGAAAGGGGGGCTGTGAAACTGACTGTGTCGGAAGGCATAGTGACGTCCCTCGCCGAGTTTGTGTGTATGTTATGGCGATTTGGGTGCTCTCTGTTGTCTCCCCAAGTTTGGGTGTGCTCCTTGATTGAAAATGTGCTTGGAAATTCTACCGGAAATGGACGACCTGTAAGAGATCATATAGGCCAGCGGCGCGTTGTGAAAATCTCCGACCTCGCAGCCATCTTGATCAACACGATCATGATGGCGGATAAAGGGCTGTTCAGTGGCTGCAATTGGATCTGAGCGCAGGTTCGCGGAGTACAAAGAGTCATCGATAAGACGAGGGCATCGCTATCAATTCGTAATGGGGCAGCAGCTCCAGGCCGGAAGGCCAGAACAAACACTGAACCTCGCTTAAACGAACTAGACCCAGCAGCTCTGGCTTGTTCATGCCGCATCTTTTTCGTGAGGCGGGTGGAATCCATGAAGTATTTTGGGTTCTTGCAGATCCACTCTATCTTTGATAGCATCGCAAGGCCTTGTCATTGGCCGGGAGAGCATTTCTTATCAGCGGAGGTCAGCGAAGGCCTCCGCCATTGGCCAGTGCGAGGTACAGTGGGAGTTTTGGTGATAAGAAACCGGAGACTGGGAGATAAGCAAGACCAGTGCCATGAAACCATATGCCACAGGGTGATTTGTTGATGCCAAGACTGCCTGTCTAATCTTGAACATGATATCAATCCGCATCCTCGCATCCTCACTTACTCGATCTTGCCACTAATGGATTGAGCACCGTGCGTGTGGCCGTGGGGAAACCCACGCGGACCCTGCATACCAGGACCTACTTTACTACCTGCAGACATCCACAATAGGAGTCCCGCGAAGGGAGTGTAGGTGATTAGCGACAATACTATAAGCCTTTGAATGGGCAGTTTCGTCCCCTTGGCGCTGCTTTCCACTTTCCATTCTCCGCGACATCTTTTCTTCGCGAAGCATTTCTTTCCCACGAGGCATTCACATCTTGCAAGATGCCCGCCTAGTTTATCGTGCTTGGCTGGTGTATTCCATTCCCGGCAGGACCATATATGGTGTGGGTTGTGAATATTAAGATAGCCCCTTGCCCTCTGCATATTCCTGTTGAACCATGAGTAATGAATATATCGTAAGTTGGTATTGTTCCTATTGTTCACTGGTTCTTCGTAGTATAGAATGTGAGGTTCCGGCGCGAATCAGGTTTAGGGCTTCACCACAGTAAGCTATGTTTCTCAAGTCTTTCTCTTCTCCTGCCTTCCTACGAATCTCTCTCTTCTTCAACAAGTCTCTCTCTCTCTCTTCTTGGCTCTTTCTCTCTCTCTGCATGTGACTCCCCAAACCTCTCCTGGAGAAAGCTCCCGTACCGCAGGAGTAATGAGCGGTACAGCCCTTTAACAACTTACACGGTCCATGAGGTCTAATAACATTAGCCCAATTCGTGATCTTACACCTTCCAGATTACCTACCGGGCCCATCTCTCCAGGTTCAAGGTTTGTTGTCCCAGGACTTCGACGAGTTGCGGCGAGCTTTGTCTGCGAGGAGGGGAAGAGGGAAGGCCCGCTAGAAGGATTCAAGAAGGGGAGAATCGTGGATCCAGGGAAAGGGACGAAAACAGGGCTTTCTCAAGTACTTATGACTGATGACTGATGGCTGATGACTTGTGATCACCGAAATTGAGCTTGAAAAGGTGTCCTTTTTGCATTACATTCGATTTTCCTTGGTGGGGAGGTCCAGAGGGTCCAGTACCTAACAAGCCTCTGCTCGCTGTGCATTCTACACAGCTTTGGGCACGGTGAGCTGATCGAAAAGACCCTGAAGCACATCAGAGACAGTATCGGCGCTCTCACTAAGGACGGGAGCACTGACCGAGAAGAGTTGTTGTCTGTCACTGGGGTGGTCTGTCGTCACTGGCTATTAATCCAAGCCATCGTTCCCGTCGCCATCTCAGCAAAGGAAGCCTTCTCGAATTGTTGAGTCCGGGCTCTCTGGCGCGGGAAATCTTAGTGTTACGGGTCGGTGACCCGACCCTGTCCCTTGATCGGAGTCTCGGACTGTTGCCTTGCAGCGGCATGCCGCTGATTGGCCACGCTGATGTACTCTATCAGGCATCTCAGGCTCCAGGGCTGATATTTAGACCTTCCAAATCATTCATGAACGATACTAGTAGTGGTCATTATTTGACATGGTTTGGCCCTCAATGGCCGCTTTCTGGCGACACTTGGAAAGGAATCACTCCCCTGTGGATCGACGGCATCCCATTCGACCAGCTATTTTGCCTAGCCCTACACTCATGTCTATCACAACTAAATATGGTTGTTGGCATATCAAACCCACCTCATGTTATCAACATAAGCTCATTCGTACTCCGTAGGAGAACCCGAACCGATCAGGGGTAAAAATGAAGACGGCGAAATCGAGGAAAAGGTGGCATGACACGCAATCAGCACTAACCCCAAAGCTACCAACCAGCCAGATATACACCATCCTAATGCCCCCCTGGACAAGCCGCCCAACATGAACACCACCGCGATCCAAATCACCATCACCAACATGGCCGACGATCACACCCCCAACACGACAGTCTACCAAGACGCAGACCTAACCGTCAACCTCACCCTCCGCCCCACCACCCCAGGCCACACCATCGCGACCCTCACCACGAACAGAACCAACCTGTTCAACCTCCCCCTACCGACCTTCACTGAAGCCCTCCAAACGCTCCGCACCATCGCCTCCCACCTCCGCAAGACATACAATGTCCAACGCTGCGCGCTGATCACGACGGGGGGAACGAGCCTCTCTCTCCTGCCGCTCCACGGCCTCACCCCGCAATGGAGCCCAGTCACGCACCCCACCCAGGAATTCCACCCGCAGTACCCGGGGTACATCACGTCGAAAGACGCGCCGCAGCTGCCGACCCCGCAGCTCAACACCATCCGCAGCTCCATCCTCTTCGCCGCCTCCCAGTCCCCGACGACCTACCACGCCGACCACACCTTCCACGGCTCGGACCCGGCCGACGCCAACCTCTTCGCGCGCATCGTGCGCGGGGAGCTCTCCCCGCAGTGGCGCGTCTGGGAGGACGCGCGCCACGTCGCCTTCCTAACGCCGTACCCCAACACCCCCGGGTTCACGGTGGTGGTGCCGCGCGCGCACCTGTCGAGCGACATCTTCTCACTGGCCCCGGCGGAGTATGCCGCGCTGGTGGAGGCGGCGCACACGGTGGCGAGGCTGCTGATCCGGGCGTTTGGGATTGAGCGCTGCGGGATGATCTTCGAGGGGCTCGAGATCGACTACGCGCATGTCAAGCTGGTGCCCATCCGCGGCGGCGGGGGTGATGACTACGATGATGACGACTACGACCGCTACGGCATCAGTGAGCCCTTCCAGGAGACCTATCAGGGGTATGTCTCCTCCTTGCCGGGGCCGAGGGTGGCAGATGTCGGGGAGGTGGTGAGGAGGGCGGCGGAGATTCGGGCGTTGGTCGGTTCGGATTCTTAGCTTTGCGCTGAGATTAGACGGGGACCCGTTATCTAGACCTTGATTACTTTCAGAAGAAGTTATAATACTATAAACCAATCTTTCTGTACATTTGCCTCCGTCGTGCTTTCTCGCTATGAACGTTTTCGCCTCTCCTCTCTCAGGGAGACTGCTATGGCAAGGTCAGACAGCGATTGAGGGTTCAAGACGCTGGGACTGGAAGAGCTCCAGCCCAGAATGTGTATGCAGCAGCTCATATGTGAAGCCTTGAGTCGCCTAGAACAGAACAACGCTTCCTCTGCTTGCAGGGACACTGGACTGACAAATAATTATAAGCTTGATATAAGCCTGTTATACCAACAACTTTTCACACTTGATAATACAAAGTATCGGAAACTTGAGATAGCTTCAAAGGTATGATACCAAGAATATCTGAAGGTAGAAGTCAAGTACTGCATGTGCTACCGGTATACTATATCCTCCGAAGCCTATCGGGTTCTTATAAAGCTGCCTCTGGAAGACACTGGTGTATGTAGACCAATTAGTAACTCAATTGCTCAGATTCGTGAGGCATCATAGCCTCTGCTAACCTATACAGCATGGCTCTCAACCTGTGTCGCCTTACTTCTTCTCCTGTTTTGTCCTTTGCTTCGCTAACCAAATCCATCCCAACAGCTTCACTGTCCTCGAATCCCAGAAGCTTCCCTAACCTGCCCTTTGTAAGCAAGGTCTAAAGTCTGCTTCTGGTAGTTTGCACACACTTTCTCCGTTCGGAGTCGATGGAATCAGTTCCTTTGCTGAATACGCCGCTGGGGACAGTAGCCATTTTGGTCGGACCTCGTTTTCATTGATAAGCACTAAAATTACACATATGCAGTTCATTCCAATTCTCTCTTTCTCTTTCCTTCAAAAGATTCTCCTCTGCTTGTTCAAGCATGTCCATTTCCATCCTATGCGGCAGATAGGTATGAATCCGGACAAAATACAAAAGCGCGCTGGGTCAAAATGCGTGTGTGTGTGTGTGTTGCGAAAAGATGTCTCCATCACCGGCGCACGCAGAAAATAACGGGCAAAGGGGGGAACACCAGGGGGGTATATGATTTCGAAGGTGGTAAATGATGCGACGATCTGATTCTCTCGGTCTGAGTTCGGCCCAAACCAGCCACTCCGCGGGGCTGAATGGAATTCACTGATGGATAGCGTGCTGCGTGTCAGAAAATCCAGGCCGAAGAGTGTCTAGCGGTGGACCGATGGCGTTTGGCGCTGATTTACGAGGAGAACTTGCGGGTGATCTTGGCGATGACTAGAAGGGGGGGGGGAAGCTATTAGTGGGACTCTTCGAGCTGATGCTTGAGAGTTGGGTCAGACGTACCGTGCAGACCAACGACAGAGAAGATGAATCCCAGACTGAGAACCAGGACGACAACGGGGTCGACCCTCAAGCCGGGGCTCTCGTCGGTGTAGAGCTTCAGCATCGTGCCAGAAGAACCGCCGGCACCGGCAGCGCGGGTCGAGCTGGGCCGGGCATTGCGGAGAGACTCCTTGTGGTCAGCGGCCGCGCGGCGACGCAAAGCAGCCCGGGGACCACCAGGAGGAGTAGGGGAGGAAGGACGGTTGACGGAGGAGACGGCAGAGGCACCGGAGCCAGCGCCGGCAGACTTGGAGTCAGGGCCGGACTCGGCTCCGGAGGTCAGGGGAGAAGCAGCACGAGGAGAAGCCTATAGCACTGTGGTCAGTTCCAATTCAATGCTGAAGTGAATGGCGGCGGTCGGCTTTGGGGGGGTCATCCAGCTTGCGCAAAGGACATTCGAGGTGCGCGCTCAGACAACCGACAGGAACAACCGACAGGATGAGTGCACTGACCATTATGAAAGTGGAATCAAAAAAGGGCTAAAGAGCAAAGATAACAAGTACAGTATTAAAGTCGATGAATGAAGAGATAGATGGGTCAATTGGCCGATGGAACAAGGAAGGGAGTCGGCTGGGGAGAAGAAGGATAGGGTGGATGGTAGAAGGTCGGGGGAGGTGAAGGTGCGGGTTGCCAGAAAGAGGCCACGCGCACGTTTCCATTTGGCGGATTACCGTCACATACAATTCTGCCGAGCGGCAATCGATTGCGAGAAAGCGGCCAAGCAGTTCACCTACATTCATTAACACAAGATTGTATAACATAAATTCAAGACTTACAGTAACTACCTCCGATGTGATGTAACGGCTAGCATACCTGTCTTTCACACAGGATATCGGGGTTCGATTCCCCGCATCGGAGTCGCAAGATCGATTTCTTTTTGCTGAGGTTTTACCCTCGATTCTACAGTGGGAGCCGAAATTCCTAGCCCGGGGCTTGGAGATATGGTCTGTGCTCTCGCCTACCGCCTCCGTCTCCTCCAATGGCATGACGGGAAGCTGGCATTCTCTCGGCAAATTAACCCGTTCAGAGTAGGCGGTCTGAGAAGCCCTCACTGAACACCTGGGGTCAAATTATCATCGCTAGGACACTCACTCGGTAGTTACACCTTACACCTAATTCGCTATATTGCCATCATCTCTTGGTGTCATGTCACTTTCTTGTGATCTCATCTTGGATATATGCTACAACTGTCAAAAAGCACATCAGTTTGGACTATGCCACTGACACAAGTCTACGAGCAAGTCCCTTTGGTTTTACTGCAGTGTCTGCACCCGAGTGTCTAGTAGATGCCGTAGAGAAACGGAGAACCAAGTCGGAGCTCGAGTTAGGGTATATATGAATCAGATGTCACCATGGCGATGGATCCTACACAGCATACGAAGTGCTACGTAGACCCCGTCCCCATCTAGCCTGTCAGAAGAGAACTGCTGGGAATTTATCTGTTAAGACCGCTGTTTCACAAAAGACCGAGTCTTCGTCCGAGTGGACAGACAGCCACCTGAGGGAACGGCAGGGAGGCACTAAAATAGCCACACCATGCCACACCAGGGTCACCGCATGGCCACGGTAGCTGTGGGTTGTGGCTTGTTTCCCTGCACCCAACCAACCCTTTCCAACCCTCTCTTTCCTTGAACGGTTGCAGTACGTAGCAGCATAAGACTGAACCGCTAGCTACCTCCTCGCATCCCAGTGGTGGGATAACTGGGATACCCTACATAGCAACAAGTGCAAAGGCAAGGCAAGGTACTGAGTAACTAGTCGATTGGCAAATCGAAGAGGAGATGGCAGACTAGGTAGAAGAGTACGTAGCCCTCCCCCGGTAATCGGATTAACAATGGGGGTTGTTGGTTCCTTTCTGCCTTAGGCGAGATCTCCATCTTATCTTTCGATGGGAACCACTGCGCTACATTGTGGTTTCCAGCAATTGGCCTTGTGATAGCTAATTATTCCCCTTGCGAATTCTCTTGCATCAATGGCTCGATTCAATTGACAGCTGAGGTGGCAGCGGTTCTTTCCCAACATTGACGTCCGGCACATTCTTGCCGGTCCAAGTCAGGCAGAAACCGGGGGGAGGAGAGGAGAAAGATGCATAAATTGAACCATGGAATCTGGCCCCCGTCCATCCCCCGGGCGAAATTTTGGTTTCAAAAGTTCGCAGCAGGCAGACAGCCAGCCCATCGCATGGGTCCGACCCACCCCACTGCAACGCGACAATTCAGGAGTAATCGAGGCTAGTTTATTTCTCCCTTGAGTTAGTCTCAGGCACGGGTTATTTCTACGTACGAATCCTAAGATTACTAGCCACCACCGCCATCTCACTCTTACTCCTACTCTTTCTATGAAGCACTCCGTAATACCGTACGGACTCCTGTGTGAATTATCCCGAGGATAATTAGCCAAGGCTGGAGCTGCCGTGGCTCGAATACCAAGAACTCCTGAGAAGTGTTAGAGCGACATAAGATTCTAATTAAAAAGTTCCCGTGCGCGAGTCAACAGCGAGATTAAGCACCACAAATTTAGAACTGAGGTGGGATAGATACTCCTCAGTGGACAATCCAACAAGTTACAACACAATTCCCGTTAACTTAACTTCATACCGTTAACTGTCGCCGGTTAAGGCTATTTATTTTTCTTGGTCGTATTTGTTGTCGGTGGTGTCCGTCCGGTGGGGAAGAGAAGTGGAAAAGAAACTCCCATCCAGTTGCATTCCTTTTTCTGTCTGTCTGTCTATCTATCTGCTGTCTGTGTTTCCTTCTCTCTTTCTACCTTTCTCTCTCCCCCCTCTGTTCTATTCTTTGGGGATCGGCCCTACAGTTTCCCCTTTGAATCGGACACTTGACCCTTCCGTTGCGTCTGGAACTTCAGCTGGACTTCTTCCGCTTGGCTGCTTCTTTTCTTTGCCCGCCCGACCAGCAGAGGTAAAAAAAGTAAGTATCTTCGTACTCGTAATAATACATTTTCCTCCTCTTCCCTTCTTTCGCCTCGTTGTTTCCTCCTCACTGCGGCTCAGACTTCCCTTTCTTCCCCCCATCGTTCCCCCTTGTCCTCCACCTGTCCCTCATCTTCAACGCTCAGCAACTTCCTCCTCCTCTTCCTCTTCTCCAACACTCGTTTCTCAACCTATCGGTCTTTCTTTCACAACTAGTCTCTCGTTTTCTGTCTCCCACCCACCCACACCCCCCTCATTCCCGGCTGAAACCGACACACCGAACTGACTCGTGACCCTGCATGTGCTCAGCCTTACACCCAGCCAGCCTGGTCCTCCACCAGTCCCGAGCCATCGACCACCGGACTGAGCCCCCCCGCCAAATCTCCGTCGCGACTTTTCTCACGCGGCCTAGTAACTAAACACATCGCCCCTTAGAGATCTCGACATTTTCCTTGTCGCTCGCAGCCCAGCCTCTTGGACAACCCTCCATCGGTATAGGCTGATTTTCGGGAGATTTGGTGTGGCTTATGCGCCTGGTATCCTATCGTCACCCTTTCGGTCGTTATCGAGAATTCACCTCCTGAACCACCAAGAGTCATTTCGGGCACGGCAACATATCTGAGAGTTGGGATCAGGTCAGCCAGAACAACACTGAACTCATCGTCAACTCGACCTCCGACTTTCCGATCTTCTACCGATACGAAAAGCGCCGCCGTTTGGTGGTGAAACCAGCATATTGTATCCCGATCCCGATCCTCCGACGGACACCAGCTCCGTCACGGAGCACTTCGTCAAAATTTATTCCAATACATCGCGGGCCTCCCTCCTGGGGGGCTCTTTTGATCCGTCATTTCGGCGTGGTTTTCGTGGACGGGAAGGATACACAAACGTTCCTCCGGATCCCCCAAAGCGACACAGGATGTACCGCCCCAATTCTCTGTGGACGTGGTCCTTCTGCATTGTCACCCTTGTCCAAACGATCATTACCCTCGCCCTGGAGTGGTATGTGCAAATAGTCTTAGGTTGAACTTGTCCGGTCCGAGGCTAATCTTTCCGCAAAAGTTATATTTTCGTCAATTTCCAGGTTCAGTTGCTCCCATCGGCTGTCACGACGACTGCCTCAAAACCTATTCCAACCTTCCTGGCCCTCTATAGCTTCGGGTTCATCTATGAGCTGATTCTCGTTTACGATGCGCTACGTCTTAAGAACACTATTCAGGTTATTGGACTGTGTATGTGCAATATCGGCTTGTTGATTTACGGGGCCGTGCAGGTGCAACAAATCCGCGATGCTGTACAGATTCTATGGGACAATGGTGCTATTGCGGAAAATGTCTGGGGAGAAACGGAGCCATTCCTTATCATCATCCCATGCGTTGTGGCTATGGGCTCAATCTTGATGATAATTGTTGCTTGGAAACTATACGACGAGTTCGCGTGGTCGATCTACAAACATATCAGCGCCGATCTGCGAATGAAGCGCCGGTATCTGACTTATCAGGTATGTATCCGGACAAGGCATACACGCGGCGCCCATACTTACAACCATGGCAGATCTATATTTCCCTTCTGAAATTCGACTTCTTCTTCTTCCTGGGTTTCACCGTTCAATTCGTCGTTATCGTCACAAATAGAAGCGACATTGAATTCGCCCTTACCCTAGCTGCCATTCCCGTGACGATCATAATTCTTATCTGCGCGGCCTTTTTCGTGCGGCGGGAAAGCTCGATTGGCATGATTGTCGTCATTGTATGTTTGATGGAACTCGATTAAGCCTCGCAGATCATCGGCTGACCGTCTCACTAGCTCCTTTACTTCGCAGCCATGGCGTATTTCTTGTTCAAGCTAGTCCGGATGTACCAGCCTGGTACCTATGACCTATACCTGACTGCTCGTCGCTCTTTGACATTCTTCGCCGTCATTACCCTTGTGCTCATCGTCATCACCATTATCAACGCCTGTGTGTGTATGCACAACTTCCACAAGGGCCTGAAGCAACATGTACACAAGAAGAAGACGCAGAACAAAGAGGGCAAAACGACGGAGCTGTCCTCCAATATCTCTTCTGGCCAGGTGCCTACTCGAATGATGATCGATTGAGCAAATCGCAGGCTACATTCTACGAGTTCTGGAGAGAGACAGAAAAGACCCAAACGACCAAAATATGCCATGTTCGATTCTCATATCGTCACCCCGACGCTTGTTGGTGGGGCGATATTCTATTACAGATTAGCGAGTTTGTGCGACATTTTTGCCGGCAGAGTTTCCTAATACCTTGGATAGTTGAAGACTGCGCGCGTTTCCCGGGATTTACCACATGATACCTACTGCTTTGTTCGACATTTTGACGACTCATCAAATACCCTTCCTTTCATTTACATACTGACTCTCCTTGCCTCGTGCCGGACCTCCGCTATATCTGGCCCACCATCCTACTTCACTGTGCTTGTCCCTGGTGGCGCTATATCCGGCGTCATATTGACGATTCTTGTATTTTTCCTTACCTCTCTGATTATGTCAATATCACGACTGTGCATCTGTTTTCATGTACTGTATGTAGTTTATTAATCCAAATCCACCTAAAACTGTCATGAGTTGTGGTACGTGGGGTCGCGTTGTAACATTCTGTGTCCGCTAGAAGGGGAGGGGTGACGGAGGGAGGAAGGGGATGAAAGAGGTCGGGGAGCCCGCAGGTGCGCACCTGCTCTCCGTTCAAGGTTGTTTGGGGACGCTGTCTGTGGGGAATGCGGCACTCATTCCCAGGGTTTCATGTTGATGTACCAATTGGGAAGGTCCGACCGGGAGTCCCTACGGGTACCTACCTGGAAGAACCGTGTGCAATTTGACTCGACGGGCTCATGATGTGATATTGTTAACTTGTTGCAGATATGTCAAAATTTAGAATCAAAAAAAAAGAATCAGTCTCGCGACTCCGATGCGGGGAATCGAACCCCGATATCCTGTGTGAAAGACAGGTATGCTAGCCGTTACATCACATCGGAGGTAGTTATCAGAAGTAAGAGCTTTTATCTTACATATGAATAGGACTGTATTAGAAGATAGAAAATACAGATTCCTCGCCCTTCCAAGGGGCCCGTTATCGGTCATATAACTTTAATAATGTTTTTAAACCCATACTCCAGTTCTACTTTTCTACTGCGCTTGGTGGAGTCTTGAGCAGGTTCGCTGTGGTAGAGTTGTTGGCAGCATCAGCAGGATCTTCAGGACAATCATATATATCTAGAGGTCGGTGTTTTATTCTGCACTTACCCCTGTTGTTTTCAAGATAAAGTTGTCACCGCAGCAGCCGTGCACCTCTTGAAGAGCTGGTGTATAGGTTCCTTCATGGCCGATGTAGCACATCGGAGTCTCTACATATAAGTCTGGTGGAAGACAGCTTATTAACCTACCAGCTCTGGCAACTGCAGTATTATTAAGATAAAAGACCGGCGACGGTATGACTTCTCCTAATATATTATACCATTTAGGTGGCAATTGATGTCTTTAAAGATCCCAACCTCATCTTTACAGTTGATATTCTGCGGTATTAGATCTGCACTGCCGATCAGAGTTGTCGTAGTTGTACAGTGTCCATTAATCAGTAAGACGCGGCATCGCTTTAAAGTCATATCCTATCGTGAGAGGCTTTCATCTTCAGTCAAGTATCAAATCCCCATCATCAGACAGCTTGGAGAGGAACAAGGACCACAAACCTCGTACAAGAAAAGACACCTGTGACAGCAAAGCTGAGCAATATAGTCCGGCCAAGGACAAGAGAGTGAATCAAAGACGATACTTATATTCTTTACTTTAGTACCGGGAAGCAATGCAGAGGTGAGTGACTGCAGCGCCCACTGTCTTCACCACTTCCACTGACAGAGCATCTTATTCACAGGCTATGAAGTGTTCACTGTTCCCCGTCTGGTTGATTCGCACCGGGGTGCTGTGTCTCAGGCAGATGTGTGCGTGGGCTTCTCGAGGCGAGGATTTCTTCTGGGATGAGATGATGAAGATACATGTTAATGTTGGTGTGTTGGTATCAAGATTCCGCTTTTTATCAGAAAATCAGACTCACCGTGATGTTAAGCTTGAAGCTATTCTCAGTTGCAGTTGGCCGCCGAGGAAAGCGTTTGTCTTCTGAGAAGAGCGTTTGTCCTCCAAGGAACGCGCTTGAGCTTGAGCCTGGGACTGACAGCAACTGGAAGTTAGTCGATGTGCTCAAGATAAGGGAGAAAGTTGATAACACGAAGTAGTCTGGAAAGCAGAGATGGAGAGCTAGGAGAAGGGAAGATTGTTGCGGGTGTCTGCTGCCAACGCCTTAAATATACAGCGATTATTCTACCAGTAGCAGTCAGTGAGAGAAGAATGTACAAAAGTACATAGGATAGGAACAAGTTCAACTATCGAGACACTGGATGTTTAGCTTTGTTAAAATAATGCTTCAAGTTTAGCTTATTGCTAAGAAGATAGGTAAAACAAACTTTACTACCTTCTGTAGACATTAAGCCTGGCAGTCCAAATCCAGAACCGACCTATCCCTATGCAAAAAAACTTCTAAATCAATTTGGATGGCAAGTATTCTGTTCCTTATTCTAAACCTTCTACCTACTCTATCAAAGTTGTTTTCCCATGATAACATGATGGGCTTGCATGTTCCTTCTGACTACTATAAACTTAAGCTTCAAAGACATTAAATTGACTGTAGGTATAATAGTATAAAATCTACTTGCAGCCTACTGCTGAAAAGTCCAGGTATTATTTACTATGTCAAACTGACTGGAAACTACCGGAAAGATAGTGAATGAAGTAGTTGAGGAATTTCATATCGTTGCCTGAAGGTCGTATAGTGAATGTTACTCCCACCTTCCCCCCCCTTTCCCCCCCCCTCCCCCCCCCCCCCAGCTTAAATTCTCTTCATCCTCCATCTTCCTTCTTCCATCTTTCTTCTCCCACCTTTCTACTCACACCTTTATTCTCCCACCTTTCTTCTCCCATCTTCCATCTTCCTCATACCATCCTCTCACTACAATCCACCGGCTTTATCTCCCTCCTTAGGCCAAGTAAGGTTCATATCTCTCTCCTACTCTAAATCTTCAAGAAACCAAAGAGGCGGCAGAGCAAGCCTTAATCTTTGCACTGCTGATCCAAACGTCCTTTGAGCGTCGCGCTTTCATTCATGTGGCATGTCTCCTTAACAGTCCAGCTCATCTACTACACTCTCGAGTAGTACAAACGCCAAGATCATCGTGACTACCCCGGGCAAACTCGTCGCAGCCCTCCGCGACCGTACGATTGTCCCCGAGGAAGTGGGCTTCGTCATTCTGGATGGGGCCCATACCCTCCTGGACCCCAAGACAGGTAGTGGCGACCACTGCAAGATGGCTCTCGAGAGACTTTCCGTGGGGTTGCCAACTTTGTTGGTCATCTGTAATGCAGATGTTCCGATCCCTGACCATATCCTTGCATGGCAGCCAAATTTTGCGAGAATCGAAATGAAGCCCCTAACTCGTAGGGGCAATATCAACCATGTGCACTCGTCCATTGCAAGCTGATATTTATGAAGATCGTGGAAGAGGCCGGCCCGGGTAAGTCTGACTGTCCTTTACATTGAATGTTTACGTATATTCTAACTTATATAGTCTTGACTCTCGTGATTGCGAGAGCCGAGAGCCCAGGAACTACACCGTGTTCTTGGCAGTGACAGGTTCACTCTGGTGCACTCGAGGTTGCCAGATGAGGTCAGGTGGTCGAGGACGTTACAGTTTCTCGAGACGGAAATTTCACCTATCGGTTGCCGGATTCCGCCCTCTGGCCTGAAACTCTCGGACGTTAAACTTATTGTTTTCGCGGAGCCGCCGACCAGATGGGCATCTCTGGCCGATCTTCTGCAGAAGACTGACAACCCCAGGTTTGATTCCCAGCATGCATGGTAAAACAGTCAAGCCACCCAAGATTTCCAGTCCTTATTTCCACCTCCCAGTTACACCTTATTTGAGGGGACAGCTTGCCCTTGGCCAGAGATCCTAAGATTAGACCTTTGTAAGACTTGAAATAACGAAACTGGATCTTACATCTACAAGGAATATTGGTAAAATCATCTCTTGGTTTGATTACTATTTCGAAGCAAGAACATCATTATGGACCCAGAGTCTTCGTTTAGGCATTTGTGATGAAAGAAGCATAGAGAAAAGAAAAAGAAACAGAGAAAAAGAGAAGAAGATCTACCGCTTCGACAGGTTCCTTGCCTATTGAGTTTTGCCGGAAACCGACTGCGACGAGAGGGCCGATCTCTGAAGCCGAGCACGATTCTTGGGCTTGGGCGCGTCAACATAATTGAGATGGAGCGAGTACATGTCCTCACCCGGAATTCGGAAGTACTGGTACTTTTTCATGAACTGCTCCGCTAATTCGACAGTCTCAAAGTCAAAATGCCGGTATCCTGTCCCAAACCCCACTGTCACTGTTGCCTGGGGTCGCAACATCGCGTGTACTTATAGAGACCTTATGTTTCCTTTCTTCTCGAGTCTTGCTCGAGAGTTGGGCGCTATCCAGAGTCGGCGAGGTGACTTGGATTGAATTCAAGCTAGAGGTACTGTCTACTGCACTTTAATGTGCCTCGCCCCAATATGTTGCCAATATGTTCTTCAAGTTGCAGTATTTATGCTCTCTGCTGGCACGGGAAGGGATTGTAATCGATGAACAAACATTCAAAGCTTCTTATTGCCTTAGAATATGACTGTGATAAGACTTCAGAACGTACCGGGCGGGCCGTGGTCACTGGTTTATACGGATCATATATAAGCATTTAGCGGGGCTAGTAACGGGCATGAAGAGTTCCATTGCTTCCGATAGCCTGCTGCAAGCCCTCAGTGGTTTATTAGTCGGAGCATCTTGAGTACAGATAGATCGAAAGAATTCTGCTGAAGAAGTGCTTGCCTTTCAAGCCGCCCGCTTTTTTACCATGCCTCAACGATACGAACCGAGCCAAGTTGTTCAATCGGTGGCAGTTAAGGAAAGGTACAGGCGGGAAAAATGGGCGTTATAGAATAATATTGGTTTCGAATATGACTGCTACCACACTGATGCTGGCAAGGCTGCCG